AACCAAATAAAAATCTCCTAGAGAGAAATTTTGGAAAGTGTCCTGCTAATTTACACTTAGGGTTACCATCTCAACAATTTCTATATTGCGACATTATCGATCCTCAGATTGTGGGTGATGTTATGATTCCTTTACTAAGAGTCATTTCATTAGATCCTACAAAATACATTTATGGTGAAAATAAAATGCACGTTTTCTCTCAACCTCACTACTTACATGTTATGCGAAGAGAGTTCGATACGCTGGAAATAGCTATAAGATCAAGCACAGGACAAAAAATACCATTCCAGTTTGGAACCGTGTTTAAACTACATTTCCGAAAATTATAATAATGAATTCTCTTCGTGATCATCATAAATGTCCATATGAAAATTATTATACACATCAAGCTGGGTCAGGAGTTGGAGTAATTTATAAGAGTTCACCATACCAACGCGGTCATGGTATTGGGAGCTTCTTAGGGGAGTTATTTAGATCAGTTTTACCTTTACTTTCAAGTGAAGCTCGAGTGATTGGTAAGGAGGCATTAAGCGCTGGAGTAGGACTTTTATCAGATATGGTTCAAGCGCGTCCTATGGAAGCCTCAATAAAAGATCGTTTAAAGCAAGTCAGTACGAATTTAAAACGAAAGGCTGATGAGAAAATTTAACATGACAGGATCTTGATATAAAACTAAAAGAAAACGATTGACCTCATTAATTCCACCATTAACTGCTAAAGTGCAAGCTGCGAAAAAACTTGGTTTCAAACCAAAAAAATATCAAAGATATATTTTCAAATTAAATATGTCTTTCCTTCATAATCATTCTTGCGAGTGCGTTAAGTCAGAATTGGATTTGTTTGCACTACCGTCTACACAAACTAGCATTGAAAATGGATTGTGGATTCATTATAAACCAATTTCATCTCTTGGTGATGATGGACCTATCGAGTTTCAAGTTCCTGGGACAGGCGATGACTACATAGATTTGTCTCATACATTACTCCACATACAGGTAAAAGTATTAAATCAAGATTCAACTAACTTGATATCTACTACAATAGTAGCACCTGTAAATAATTGACTGCATTCACTTTTTAGTCAACTTGATGTTTATTTAAACCAAAAACTTGTATCACCACCTAATAATACCTATGCATATCGAGCATACATGGAAACCCTTTTAAACTATGCTCCCGCTGCTAAACAATCTCATCTTACTTGTAGTCTATGGTATGAGTATACAGCAGGGAAAATGGATTCTACAGATGGTAAAAACATAGGATTTGTTAAAAGACAGGAATTGATTAGTGAAAGTAAGGAAATAGAAATGATTGGTCATCTTCACGGTGACATTTTCAACCAAGAAAATTTTTTAATTAATGGTGTTGAAATAAGTGTTAAATTGGTTCGATCAAAAGAGAGTTTTAATTTAATTGCTGAGTCAAACGATGTAAAGTTTAAAGTTTGCATTACGGACGCAACTCTTATTGTTCGACGAGCACGAATTAATCCAAGTGTATTACTCGCACATCAAAAAGTTTTATCTTCTACCACTGCTAAATATCCTATTACTCGTGCTGAAGTAAAAGTTTTAACAATTCCATCGGGTGTTCAAGGAAAAACTCTTGATAATATATTTTTAGGACAGATACCCAAAAGATGTATAATTGGATTTGTGACCAATTCTGTATTTAATGGTTCCCTTATTAAAAATCCATTTAACTTTGAAAACTATGGTATTAATTCTTTTGATGGTCAACAAATACCTTCAAAAGCTTTGCAACCATCTTTTAATAATAGTATATTTACATCAGCATATCATACTCTATTCTCGGGAACTGGTATTCATTTTCTTAATGAAGGAAATGGAATCTCTCGTGAACAGTATGCCAAAGGTTACCGTCTATTAGCATTTGACTTAACTACTGATTTATCAGCCAACTCATCAGCTCATTGGAATCTCATAAAGCATGGTAGTGTAAGATTAGAAGTACGATTTGAATCCTCACTAATACAAACAATTAACTGTATAGTTTATGCTGAGTTTGATAATATTATTGAGATAGATAAAAACAGAAATGTTACTGTAGACTATAGTAGTTAAGGTTATAATATGTGTTGTGTGTTAGGTTTTATGTGTTATGTGTAATGCATTTTGTGTGTATGTAACTATGAGAAACGTTAAAAAATTAAATAAAACAAATTGTATGCAATATATTATTTTTTATTTCTTTATAAATCTTCTATTTAATCTAATACAAAACACTGTTCGAGTTTAAAGTTACATCGGACTCTCTCATTAGATCATCAATAATAACAAGGTGTGGGTTTTCACCATCAAACATATTAAGATTTGGAATTCCTTGATGATAGTTAACATTTGGTAAATTATATAACGGTTGTATTTCATCAAAGCACCATGTGATCTGATTAAAATCACAATTACATATTTCTGTAACTGATTTTATGAAATTTGTTACAAAATTTGACTTCCCACATCCACTTGGTCCTGCCACAATAGCAGTAAACGGATGTATAAAGTGAAACATTACACACGTCTAAAGTTCTAAGGGGTGAAATAAAAAATGAAAGTGTTGGTGTAAGTAAACAATTAATATATATTGTGTACTAATGTTTTTGGGAACTCAAACAAAATTTATGATTAATTAAAAATTTTATTTTCAAGCAATAAGCACTTGAAAAAAACACACACTTCATCACAAGAACAATGTAAAATTTTGTGATTATTTTTTGCAAATATATGATTATTACCGCCGCTGTATAGTCGCCGCTGAGCACGTTGTAAATCAGCACTAAAAATTGCAATTAACAATTTGATTGGTATTGGCGGGGATCGAACCCGGGTCGCGCACTGTGAAATTTACAGTTTGCGATAACCATCTGAGCTACCACGGCTTAATCATATACACACTCTATACACACAAATATAATTTGTTAACACTAAATCATACACACGTAAGAAAATAACAGAAAGAAAAGTAAGTTTGTCAATAGAATAAACACTTACATCCATGGCCTTTGATGCGTTGAAGTAACACAAACGTAGTATTGATAGATCCACTGCGGTCAAACGACCATACACTAACTCCATGACTGCAGCTGCTCGGTCTTATATAGTACCAGTAAGTAATAATTCTAATCTAAAGAATTTCTGCAGTGGAACTGATAGTACGAGTAACTTCATACATCAACAAGCTTATGTCACATTCTGTTGCTTATCTCAACATTCCTTCGTGTTGCGTCTTGTTCAGTGTATTGATGACTCAAATACGATTTGTATAACACAAAAGAATGCAATTTAATATTTGGAAATTGAAATTTTGGAATTGATCATTCCTATGTTAGTCATTGAGTAGATTGGTATTGTAATAATTTACTAATAGCAGTAATATCATGGATACACTAGATATGCCAAACTGCTTCATTACTATTGTTGTTTTTATAATAGTATTCTATAAATGATACTGAATATCCGCAAATATATTTGTGGTAACAAAATGACTGATGACTCTCTGAACAGATTCGACTATTTTCTGTGGAGAACCAGTCCTATCTACCCGTAATATTTATCAATTTTCCTTTAATATCAGGATCTTTCGGGAATCTAGAAATAAGTGATAATTATGTTCTTTAAATATAACTATTTATACTTTCTAAAAAGACCACTTTTTCTTTACATTTATCAGCATGCTAAACATTTATAGACGTTACACAAAATTAAATAAATAATTACATTCTTAATGAAATTATTGTATAATAATTATTAAGAATATTCTACGTTCAAATGTCATTTAGTTTCTACGTTCGAAATTCCGAAAAATATCCTTTATAGAAACATCGATTCCGTATTTTCATCGTTACTATCGTGCGACCGATGCCTGCAGCAATGAACAATGATATCTAATGTTTCACATTACATTGCTTGATGAGTTTATTAGCTTCACGTGCGTCGCGTATTATGGTAGAAAAAAAAGCAGCAATGGTAATTGTACAATTCGAAAAGTAATAAATGAAAGTTTAGAAAGGTAAATATCATACTAAAGTATTCATCTAGATTGTAGTTCCCAAAGTGGTTCAGGTGGAACCCTAAGGGTCCATAGAAGACCACACGGGGTCCACGCAGACGTGAAAAGAAAACAGGGGTTCACAAGTTGTAAGGGGAGGTCTACGAAAAATTTTCTGGTTTTTATAATAAAGAACAACAATGTTGACTTAGATTTACCTATCAACGTAGGCAGGTTGCATCATTCACTAGGTAGGTACTCAAAAATATTCGAGACTCAGTTCAAACACAGAATTGAATAAAACAATAGATCTATTATCTATATCTACAGGTGTATACCACATGTCGAGTTGTCGAGACTTGCAAAGTGCCGCCCATTCGCCCGCCCGTCCGGGATGCTTGTTTAAACCTGCAAAGGGATGAAATGCGATATGCGCTGTGTTTGCAATATACTATGTGCATGGTGCGGGTGACAGTTGCCTGTATGACGTTGTCATCTGTCAGTACCACATGGCTGACGATATTCGGAGCATAAATCTATTTCATAAATTATTATTATTATATCGTCATAAATTATTATTTAATAGGTATTTATTAGTACATAGTTAGTTTCCGTAGTTTCTAGGGATTAAACATTTATCGAATATGGTCTGCGCGATATTTCAAACCTACTTATAATATTATGTCTGATAGATAGAATTAAAATAAAATAAATAAATAACGTGTATAAACTTGTCAATATAAATATTTTCGTTGTACTTATATAAAATTATCAAAATGGGGTTCATGTTTTTTTTCGTGACAACATTTTTTCTCTATGGCGCATCGGTGCCGCGGCCATTTTGTTTACCCGTGTGTGAGATGCTGTCAGTACGAGTGCTAGCGCCTTGTATTGTGACACGTATTTCGCTTCATTGTTCGTTTTCATTTTCGTTAAATTGTTATAGTTTGTTGAGTTTGTTGTTTTATTTGTTAAAGTTTGTTGTTATTACCATGATTAAGCATACAAAAAAAACTGTTATGGGTAGTCAGGCCTGGGAGCTTGTTGTTCGCATCCGAGACTACTTTGAAAGAGAACTACAAAATAATGGACCTTTGTTACCATTGAATCGAATTGTGGAACGAGTAGCCGAAGCTCTAGATATTGGCCGCAATACTGTTTCGCGTATAACACGTGAGAAAATTGGCCAAGAAGGGATGTCTGAAAATAAATTATCGACATTCGATACCCAACAAAAAAACGGACCAAGGTGAAGCCAAATCATCAGAATCACAGATTTAGATGATTTTGCTAAGGATACTATTTGAAAACATATTTATGATTATTATAGAAGAATGGAGCTGCCCACATTGCTCAAGCTCCTTAAATCATTGAAAGGAGTGCTTGTTCAAGGGAGGTATTACTTCGTTGAGGCAAGTTATAAAAGATATTGGCTTTGTTTACAAAAAAGTTACAAAAGGAAGATTATTATGGAGAAGACTGACATTGCCCTAGCAAGATGTACATTTTTAAGGAAGGCCAAAAACATAAGTGATTGGAGCAAAGTTGTTTTTTTGGATGAAACGTGGCTAAACGCCAACCACACAGTGGGTAAAACTTGGAACGACGATAAGGCACAATCGTGTACCAAAGTGCCGGAGGGCAAAGGCGAATGCCTTATTATTTGTCACGCTGGTACAGCAAGTGGATTCGTCCCTAATTGTTTGCTGGCTTTTAAGTCAATAAAAACTACGGAATATCATGAGGAGATGACCTACGAAAAATTCAAAGATTGGTTCATAGGTCTATTAAATAATTTAAAAGAGCATATGACCATAATAATGGAAAACGTACCGTACCATTCGGTACAAGTTAATAAACCCCCAAACCAATCGAACCGCAAAAGCGAGTTGGTGAAGTGGCTGAGTGAAAATGGAGTTAAATCTTCATCTAGCTACCAACGCAGAATGAAACACGCCAACGTGTGAATGGCACCACGAAAATAAGCCGAACACACTCGCCGAGCGCGCTCGGCCAACGTGTACTGGAGCCTATAGACATTTTTTGCTTCCTTTAAAGTTGTCCATGAGTTTAGTATCGCAGGTAGTAGAAGTCTTATACTACGATCTTCAATCCGCCTCCCAAGCATGACTATAAGGGTAAATCCTCCTTACAACTGCATCTGGAGAGGAACATAATATTTTACTTTGACACCAGAATTCGGAGAAAAAATCAGAGCTGAAAACGGGCGGAAAACTGGTACTTAATGTCCTTCAGAAGCTCTACAATTCCATCCATGCAAGAATAGTGATACTACTCGGAGGCGTAGAAGTTTGTTCTTCATGTAAGACTGCGCGTTGACTTCATAAAACACGAAAAAAATAGATGAGACCTCTTCATATTAACCTTAAGGTTTTCGGCGTGTCTAAGAGACATTTGGTGATATCTACCAGTTTTCACCCTCGTGATCACTGAGATATCTGAATAGTTGGTTGATATAATAAATTCATCTCATTTTTGAAATGTCATTTTCAAAAAGAGCTGAATCACAAGAATTTTGTTCCTATTTTATGATTCCCTCTATGCAAGTAATTACTCTGGGGAAGGGTTTTCCAAAAATTCTGCAAGTAAAAAAATATTATTTGCAAAACTCTCGCCATAAAAATGTTTAAGATTTTCGGAAAATTAAAAAATGTGTATTAATTTAATTATTTTAATCTAAAACCATGGGTGGTATATGGATGGAGTGACGACCAGGTAAGACATGCAGGAAGTCAATGAATGCAAGTGGCTTCGAACCGCGCTTTGTGGTATTCCTTGGGGGAGGCCTATGTTTAGCAGTGAACTTGTGAATGGCTGTAACGATAATGATGATGAGTCAAAAAGCAGCATTTGGGATTTATATTTTACTAATAGGGCACCAAAATGGGGGGTGGGTCGTCGTGTGCCGTCACAAGTCTCGTTTGTGTGGTTTAACGCAAACGATAAAATCTACATTTCCAAGTTCACATGACATGTGTAAGTAATATGTATGCATATAGTAGTTTTCTTCTTTTTCATTTCGGTTTGTTGTAACACATGATTCTAATAAAAAATACCACTTTAAAGCAAAATATTTCGCAATCCAACGATACCATAAACACACGATAGAATAAACGAATAAAAAATCATCCTTCATTTACTTGTATGGGGAGTACCCAAAATAAAAATGTTTTTTAAAATTTTATTTCACAGTTTTGTAAGCGTGGTTAATATTTATAACTATGCAAAATTACAGATTTGTAGCACCTAGGCTCCTTGTTGTGTAACTACGGAATCCTGAAAACTATCATAAACACTGCATAAACACATCTTGTTTCACCCGCTTTTTCTTAGTAGAAGCCGAAGCAATAAAAGGAACCTATTTTCCCACTTTCACGAGTCTATGTTCAGCGGTTTGGGCTGTGCCTTTATATAGAATATTCTGCATTCAAACTTTACACCTTTTATCTATGATGTATGATGTGAGGTTCACTAAGCTCAGTACACTCCTCGTCCTGAAAATTCACAAGTCTAGTTGGCCTGACGTAATCTTCCCAATTGTGCTGAACACATGTGCTCCGGGACTGTCACCGGTATGTACTCTTTCGATACTCCTTACTCTTTAGGCGTTGTATCGAAATCATGTAAGACAGCTTTCGCGCACCCGATCCCTATAAAACTGATCTGATCCATCCAACTATAGGCTTATCGTTATTACCTAATTGTTATTGAAAATAATGGAAATAATTAATAACTGCCGGATCATGCGGTACCTTAAGAAGCAAGCTGGTAATCTTCTTGTTTACCTAACACATCAATAGGCTCAGGAAGTCCAGTTCAAGAAAGAAGTCTATGCGGTTAGTTTGGACAAAGCGAAGGCTTTCGATCGGGTTTGGCACAAAGCGCTTCTTTAGGTGCTTCCCTCTTATAAAAATTATTAGAAAGTATACAATACGGTCATGTGGGTCAAGTGTGCGCAGCGGGTAAGTGTGCGTGCGAAATATCTCGAAAACAGTCCATCAATAAGTTCTTCTCTTTGTTCTTCTCTTCAGTGCCCCTCGGGACGTCCTACGAAGCTTCTGTCTCGCGGTGACCGCTAGCGACCGTAAATGAATTTTTTTTGCTAAAATTATTACAATATTTTGTCACATTTAGCGTGCAATCTTTTGTAGACGCATAACGAAGACGAAAATTTGGTATTTATCTTCAGGCCCTACATTTTATACGGGTTCACAAGAGACAATGTTTGAATTGTTGTGATGATACAATCTTAAACAATTTTGATCGAATCCGGAGTGATGGATTGGGTTAAGTGTGCGCACAATTTCGTAATTTTATTTCGTTTGGAACAATTTTATTAATCAGTATTTTGTTGAATACATTAAATATTCTACGTTTAAAGTGAATAAAATAATTGAAATTTCATTTTAAAATTCATGTTTTGTGAATTTTCGAGTTAATAATAATAAATTATGGAAGGAAGGCGATAATAAATTTAAATATTTGTAGAAAATTAATATATGTCTGTGTATATACATGTATATATGGCGGGAGATTGAAATTACGTAGTGATTTTTTCAGCGCGGCCTTGTTTGTGAATGAGTGAGTGAATGAGTTTTTTCGCCTACACAAATTTACTTTGACAACGTAAAAAAATAAATAAACTTGTTTTATTCATGATTCATGTAATTTAAGGAATTTTAAAAATAAAAATTTTATTTGACGAATAATACATTAAGAAAATTAATGATTCGATTATTTGAATATTTTTATCGATTATTCGCATAACAATGAATTTTAATCTACTAAACACTACGGTAAGGTATATAGCGACATATTAAGTAGAAGAAAAGAAACGACGTCAAGTAAAAAAGTTGGTACTAATTAGTTTTTTAATATTTTGGTTTGTTTGAAAGATTCGAATTTAACCCCTCAATCCTTTTAAAATTCCCATGCATGCGTCCGTCACAGCCCGAGCGTCATCACCCACCCACAGCACTTTGAACCATTAAAACTTATATTTATAGCTTACTTTTCTATAAAGAAATTTGGCATTATAGAATCTATACGAAATTCTCTATCTTGTGGTCTAAATAAAAGTCATTTACTCTATGCATTTTATTTTTATTCTCCTGTCAATTTACGACATTTGCCGACCATACGATAATGGCGCAGTAGAGAGAGTCTTATAAACAGAACAAAACCTCATGTAACTTAATTCTTTATGCATATGACATTTTCTACAGGATAAAAGAGATAGTTATATGAATGTCACCATCTCCCCTTCACAAGGTTGTAAACGTTTTTTTACTTTATGTACCATAGATAATTCTAGTGATGATAACTATAGAAGAGAAAAGCCTTATCGATATACTCGTTTTATCTATGGTTCAATAAAATTCAGCATTTTAATAATATTGCTAAACATTTTCTATCAATATTAATTTAGGATACCAACTAAGGGAAGACCTGCTACGAACGAAGTGTTCAGCAACGGAACGTAAAACAATTGATTTAGTCAATTTTGCTAAATTTTGTTTCAATTTGGGTGAATTTTGTAATTCAGATCGATTGTGCCATTAAGTTAAAATATATCATAACGCTCTAAGAATAATTCTGATTGCCAAATTTGGTAACGCTTTTTATCAGTTTTACATTAGTTAGGTGTGATCAAAATAAAAGAACGTAAAAATGCAAACAAAATATTTATTTGTCCTTTACAAAGAAAATAAAACCAATTTAACTGCATTGAAATAACTTTTAAACTGTTTATTGTATCTTATATCTATATTACTTATTTAATTTAGTAAAATCTTTACACCTGCCACAGTTTCTCAAATCGTCCAGGGTTAACTGGTAGAAATTGCTATAAGACAATAAGTCGGAATTTTATATCCCTCATTTATAAGGTGTGTAAAAAAGATGAAGCAAATAAATAAAATACTAATTGGTACCCTTGACAAGAAGCTGGCTATGACAAAACATGTAATTAATTTACAATAGTAGAAAAAACTTAAAAAGTCAAAGTTTCTTTCTACGTACTTGCTTCTTCTTCTTTTGGACATAAACTGCATCAAAAGTGTTTATTAGGCCAGTAGTATTTGTTTTCCCTATTAAATAAACATAAACAACAAATTAAAAGAATTCAGGCAAAGTTTATAAGGCATTTAAATTATAGCATTCAGGCGTATATACTTTATTATACTTACTATAATAAACGTTCGTAGAAAATAGACGTAAAATAATATGATGA